AACCCCTCCTCCCTTCATCTACTGTCCCCTCCTATAACCCCTCCTCCCTTCATCTACTGTCCCCTCCTATAACCCCTCCTCCCTTCATCTACTGTCCCCTCCTATAACCCCTCCTCCCTTCATCTACTGTCCCCTCCTATAACCCCTCCTCCCTTCATCTACTGTCCCCTCCTATAACCCCTCCTCCCTTCATCTACTGTCCCCTCCTATAACCCCTCCTCCCTTCATCTACTGTCCCCTCCTATAACCCCTCCTCCCTTCATCTACTGTCCCCTCCTATAACCCCTCCTCCCTTCATCTACTGTCCCCTCCTATAACCCCTCCTCCCTTCATCTACTGTCCCCTCCTATAACCCCTCCTCCCTTCATCTACTGTCCCCTCCTATAACCCCTCCTCCCTTCATCTACTGTCCCCTCCTATAACCCCTCCTCCCTTCATCTACTGTCCCCTCCTATAACCCCTCCTCCCTTCATCTACTGTCCCCTCCTATAACCCCTCCTCCCTTCATCTACTGTCCCCTCCTATAACCCCTCCTCCCTTCATCTACTGTCCCCTCCTATAACCCCTCCTCCCTTCATCTACTGTCCCCTCCTATAACCCCTCCTCCCTTCATCTACTGTCCCCTCCTATAACCCCTCCTCCCTTCATCTACTGTCCCCTCCTATAACCCCTCCTCCCTTCATCTACTGTCCCCTCCTATAACCCCTCCTCCCTTCATCTACTGTCCCCTCCTATAACCCCTCCTCCCTTCATCTACTGTCCCCTCCTATAACCCCTCCTCCCTTCATCTACTGTCCCCTCCTATAACCCCTCCTCCCTTCATCTACTGTCCCCTCCTATAACCCCTCCTCCCTTCATCTACTGTCCCCTCCTATAACCCCTCCTCCCTTCATCTACTGTCCCCTCCTATAACCCCTCCTCCCTTCATCTACTGTCCCCTCCTATAACCCCTCCTCCCTTCATCTACTGTCCCCTCCTATAACCCCTCCTCCCTTCATCTACTGTCCCCTCCTATAACCCCTCCTCCCTTCATCTACTGTCCCCTCCTATAACCCCTCCTCCCTTCATCTACTGTCCCCTCCTATAACCCCTCCTCCCTTCATCTACTGTCCCCTCCTATAACCCCTCCTCCCTTCATCTACTGTCCCCTCCTATAACCCCTCCTCCCTTCATCTACTGTCCCCTCCTATAACCCCTCCTCCCTTCATCTACTGTCCCCTCCTATAACCCCTCCTCCCTTCATCTACTGTCCCCTCCTATAACCCCTCCTCCCTTCATCTACTGTCCCCTCCTATAACCCCTCCTCCCTTCATCTACTGTCCCCTCCTATAACCCCTCCTCCCTTCATCTACTGTCCCCTCCTATAACCCCTCCTCCCTTCATCTACTGTCCCCTCTCATAACCCCTCCTCCATTCATTTACTGTCCCCTCCTATAACCCCTCCTCCATTCATCTACTGTCCCCTCTCATAACCCCTCCTCCCTTTATCTACTGTCCCATCTCATAACCCCTCCTCCATTCATTTACTGTCCCTTCTCATAACCCCTCCTCCATTTATCTACTGTCCCCTCTCATAACCCCTCCTCCATTCATCTACTGTCCCCTCTCATAACCCCTCCTCCATTCATCTACTGTCCCCTCTCATAACCCCTCCTCCCTTCATCTACTCTCCCCTCTCATAACCCTTCCTCCATTCATTTACTGTCCCCTCTCATAACCCCTTCATCTACTGTCCCCTCCTATAACCCCTCCTCCCTTCATCTACTGTCCCCTCTCATAACCCCTCCTCCCTTCATCTACTGTCCCCTCTCATAACTCCTTAATCTATTGTCCCCTCTCATAACCCCTCCTCCCTTTATCTACTGTCCCCTCCTATAACCCCTCCTCCCTTCATCTACTGTCCCCTCCTATAACCCCTCCTCCCTTCATCTACTGTCCCCTCCTATAACCCCTCCTCCCTTCATCTACTGTCCCCTCCTATAACCCCTCCTCCCTTCATCTACTGTCCCCTCCTATAACCCCTCCTCCCTTCATCTACTGTCCCCTCCTATAACCCCTCCTCCCTTCATCTACTGTCCCCTCTCATAACCCCTCCTCCCTTCATCTACTGTCCCCTCCTATAACCCCTCCTCCCTTCATCTACTGTCCCCTCCTATAACCCCTCCTCCCTTCATCTACTGTCCCCTCCTATAACCCCTCCTCCCTTCATCTACTGTCCCCTCCTATAACCCCTCCTCCCTTCATCTACTGTCCCCTCCTATAACCCCTCCTCCCTTCATCTACTGTCCCCTCTCATAACCCCTCCTCCCTTCATCTACTGTCCCCTCCTATAACCCCTCCTCCCTTCATCTACTGTCCCCTCCTATAACCCCTCCTCCCTTCATCTACTGTCCCCTCTCATAACCCCTCCTCCCTTCATCTACTGTCCCCTCCTATAACCCCTCCTCCCTTCATCTACTGTCCCCTCCTATAACCCCTCCTCCCTTCATCTACTGTCCCCTCCTATAACCCCTCCTCCCTTCATCTACTGTCCCCTCCTATAACCCCTCCTCCCTTCATCTACTGTCCCCTCCAATAATCCCTCCTCCCTTCATCTACTGTCCCATCTCATAACCCCTCCTCCCTTCATCTACTGTCCCCTCCTATAACCACTCCTCCCTTCATCTACTGTCCCCTCCTATAACCCCTCCTCCCTTCATCTACTGTCCCCTCCTATAATCCCTCCTCCCTTCCTCTACTTTCCCCTCCCCTCACCCCTTCTCCCTTCATCTACTATCCCCTCTTTATAACCCCTCCTCCCTTCATCTACTGTCCCCTCCTATAATCCCTCCTCCCTTCATCTACTGTCCCCTCTCATAACCCCTTCTCCCTTCATCTACTATCCCCTCTCATAACCCCTCCTCCATTCATCTACTGTCCCCTCCTATAACCCCTCCTCCCTTCATCTACTGTCCCCTCCTATAATCCCTCCTCCCTTCATCTACTGTCCCCTCTCATAACCCCTCCTCCCTTCATCTACTGTCCCCTCTCATAACCCCTCCTCCCTTCATCTACTCTCTCTGCCTCAAACCTCACCCTTATCTACTATTTTTCCCCATAACTCCATTTACTGTCTCCTTCCATAGCCCCTCCTCCCTTTATATACTGTCCCCCTCATAACTCCACCTTCATCTACTTTCTCCTCCCTTCATTTATTGTTCCCTACCAAAACTTACGTACTTATGTACGTGGATAGAGAACTGGCTACGGGAACGTGTCCAGAGGGTATCTGTAAATGGCACCTTTTCAGACTGGGCTAGTGTAATGAGCGGTGTGCCTCAGGGTTCTGTGCTGGGTCCCATATTGTTCAACTTATTTATTAATGACATCGGGGAGGGTGTTAACAGCGATATTTCCGTGTTTGCGGATGACACCAAAATAGGGAGGGTAATAGACACGGACTTAGACACTATAACATTACAGGAGGACCTGGATAAAATAGGGGGAGGGGCATTAATGTGGCAGATGAGGTTTAATGTCGATAAATGCAAAGTAATGCACTTTGGAATTAACAATAAACAAATGGGTTATACAATTATGGGGGTGCCGCTGGGGAAGTCAGAAATGGAGAAGGATTTGGGGGTCATTGTAGACCACAAACTGAAAGGTAG